TCGTCGTCGTCGCAGTCGTCGTTGCAGTCGTCGCCGTCGTCGCCGTCGCGTCGTCGCCGTTGCGCCGTCCCTTTCGTCGTCGTCGTCGCTTTCGTCGTCGTCGTCGTCGTCGTTGTCGCCGTCGTCGTCGTTCGCCACTTGTCGTCGTCGTCGTCGTTGTCGTCGTTGTCGTTGCCGACGTCGTCGTCGTCGCCGTCGTCGTCGTCACCGTCGTCGTCGTCGGCCGTCGGCTGCCGTCGGCGGCCGTCGTCGTCCGTTGGCGTCGTCGCCGTCGTCGCCCTCGGCCGTCGGCGGCCGTCGGCGGCCGTCGTCGTCGTCGTCGTCGTCGTCGTCGTCGTCGTCGTCGGCGGCCGTCGTCGCCGTCGTCGTCGTCGTCGTCGTCGTCGTCGTCGTCATCGTCGTCGTCGTCGTCGTCGCCGTCGTCGTCGTCGTCGTCGTCGTCGTCGTCGTTCGGTGTATGTCGTCGTCGTCGTCGCCGTCTCCGTCGTCGTCGCCGTCGTTGTCGTCGCCGTCGTCGTTTTCGCCGTCGTCGTCGTAGTCGTTCGTCGTTCGTCGTCGTCGTTATCGTCGCCGTCGCCGTCGCCGTCGCCATCGTCGTCGTCGGCCGTCGTCGTCGTCGTCGTCGTTATCGTCGGCGTCGTCGGCCGTCGGCGGCCGTCGTCGGCCGTCGTCGTTTGTCGTCGTCGTCGCTTGTCGCCGTGGTCGTCGTAGTCGTTCGGTGTATATTGTGGTGTATTTCGTTGTCGTCGTTGCCGTCGTCGTCGTCGCCGTCGGCGGAGTCGTTCGTCGATCGTCGTCGTCGTCATCGTCGCCGTCGCCGTCGTCGTCGTCGCTGTACGTCGGTCGTTCGCCCTCTCGGTCCGCCTTCCGTCAAACGTCGTCGTTCGTGTAGTCGTGATCTCTCCCGTTCGTTGTCGTCGTCGTCGTCATCGTCGCGCGCCGTCCGCCGTCGTTCGTGTCGTCGTCGGCGTCGTAGTCCACGTTCGTCGTCGTCGGGCCGTCGGCTGCCGTCGGCGGCCGTCGTCGTCGTCTTCGTCGTGTCGCGTCGCGGTTTTCGTCGTCGTCGTCGTCGTCGTCGTTCGTCGTGCGTCGGTCGGGTATCTAGTCGTCGTCGCCGTCGCACTCGCCTTCGGTGGGCCGTCGGCGTGGCGTCGTCGTCGCCGTCGTCGTGGTCGTCGTACCGTCGTGGTCGTCGGTTCGTCCGTAGTCGTTCGTCGTCGTCGTTTGTCTTCGGTCGTTGTCGTTTCGCGTCCGTCGTCGTCGTCGTCGTCGTCGTCGTCGTCCGTCGTCCGTCGTCGTCGTCGTCGTCCGTCGTCCGTCGTCCGTCGTCGTCGTCCGTCGTTGTCCGTCGTCGTCCGTCGTCGTTGTCGTCGTCGTCGTCCGTCGTCGTCGTCGTCTCGTCGTCGTCCGTCGTCGTCGTCCGTCGTCGTCGTCGTCGTCCGTCGTCGTTGTTGTCCCTCGGCCGTCGTCGTCGTCGTCGTCGTCGTCGTCGTCGTCGTCGTCGTCGTCGTCGTCGTCTCGTTCGTCGTCGTCGTCGCGTCGTCGTCGTCGTGCGTGCTGTCGTCGTCGTCGTCGTCGTAGTGGTTGTCGTCGCGGTCGTTTGCCAACGTCGTTCGTCTGTTCATCGTCGGCCCGTTCGGCAGTCGCCGTCACCTCCATCGTCGTCGTCGACGTCGTCGCCGACGTCGTCGTTGTCGTCTTGTGTCTCCGTCGTCGTCGTCGTCGTCGTCGTCGTCGTCGTCGTCGTCGTCGTTGTCGTCATCTTACGCCGTCGGCCGTGGTCGTCCGTCGTCGCCGCCGTCGTCGCCGTCGTCGTCGTCGTCGTCGTCGTGGGCCGTCGGGGGCCGTCGGCGGCCGTTCGCGGCCGTCGTCGTCTGTCGGCGGCGTCGCCGTCGCCGTAGCCGTCGTCGTCTTGTGTTTCCGTCGTCGTCGTCGCCGTCGCCGTCGCCGTCGCCATCGCCGTCGCCGTCGTCGTCGTCGTCGTCGTCGTCGTCGTCGTCGTCGTCGTCGTCGTCATCGTCGTCGGCCGTCGGCCGTCGGCGGCCGTCGGCGGCCGTCGTCGTCCATCGTCGTCGTCGTCGTCGTCGTCGTCGCCGCCGTCGTCGTCGTCGTCGTCGTCGTCGTCGTCGTCGTCGTCGTCGTCGTCGTCGTCGTCTTTTGTCGCCGTCATCGTCGTCGTCGTCGTCATCGTCGTCGCCGTCGGCCGTCGGACGGCCGTCGGCGGCCGTCGGTCGTCGGCCCGTCGCCGCCGTCGTCGCCGTCGTGTCGCCGTCGTCGTCGTCGTTCGTCGGTCGTTGTCGTTTTTTTTTTTTTTTTTTTTTTTCACGTCGTCGTTGTCGTCGTCGTCGTCTTTGTGGTCGTCATAGTCGTTCGCCGTCGTCGTCGCCAACGTCGTCGTCGTCGTCGCCGTCGTCGGCGTCGTCGTCGTCGTCGGCCGTTTGCGGCCGTCGGCGGCCGTCGTCGGGGGCGGCCGAGTGCGCGCGCGCGCGCCCCGCGGGAGGCTCGCTCGGCGCACGTGGCGGGCCTGAACCTCGCTCTGGTGCGGGGGCGGGTGGGTCGGAGCCGCTCTGCATGGCCAGGCTGGGCGTGCTGATGGGGGGCCTCTCCGCGGCGCAGGCCAGATGTGCTCGCGCCGTGAACAAAAAGCAGGACGGTTTTTTTTGTGTCTACTTTTTTTCGGCCTCCGGGAGCTCTCGCGGGTCCCCGTCACCGTCAACTCTGGCCCCAGGGAAGGGGTCGGGAATTCCGGGGACCCCGTATTGGCAAAGTCAGGACGTCGCATGTCTGGCGACGTCAGGCGGCTTGGAACAATATCGAGGCGGCGGGCCCTGTTGATTTTACTCTCTGGGTTCTGGGGGCCAGTTTCGGGCCCTGGCGCCGTCAGAGGACGACTCAGGGTGAAGACGGCCAGGTGGTGCCTGGGCGAAACGGGTCAGCAGAGGACTAGTGCAGTAGTGTGCATGGGACGTGCGGCGCTCGCTGTTCGTCTGGGGGGCACTCCGTTGTTCCTGGGTTGCGCTTGCCTGGCCCGGCGTCGTCACCCGCAGGCTGCGCAGAGTTCGTTCTCCCTGGAAATGATTCCGGCGTGGGCCCCGAACAGGGAAGCGCCCCCACAGGCGGCAACGGGCGGCAGCGGGCAGCGAATGGCCGGGGCCACGGGCGGCAACTGGTCCTTCCCCCGGGAGGGGGTCGAACGGTCCAGGAGCTTGTTGCCCGAACAGATCGAGGCGCCGGCTATTCCCGGGGAGGCGCGGAGGGAGCCCATGGAGTCTGGCTGCCCAGCGGATCCGTTGTTCTTCTCGCCCCTTCGGGTGGCCCTCTTCTGCCTGGATGGGCGTGGTCTGCAGAGTTTGCCTCTGGCTCCTCTCGGTCGATTCTCCTGGTGCCCGTGCAGAGCTGACTCCCCGGCCGCCTCCAAGGCATGGGGTGGGTCGAGGAGCGAGGTTCGAGATTGGAGCTCCGACCCGGGGATCGAGGTTTCTGGGCACGTTCGGATCCTTCTGGGCATCTGGGGGCCTCGGGAGGCGTCTGCCCTGCATTTCTCTTAAAGCTCGGCCTTTCGGGGCCCAGGACCATCACAGAGCGACCTTGGGTGAACGACGAGTCCTTGGGGAGGTGTCGGGAGCTCTGGAGCCCATGGATTGAAAGTTGACTCCAACGGAGGGTGACGAGGATTTTTGAACATCTGAATGTCTTCGGACCCTGGAGTTCTCCGCGGGCTTCGGGACGAGGGCCTCCAGACTTCGGGGAGTTTTTTGTCAGTTTCTGCTTTCGTTATATCTACATGCGCACCAAATCAATTGTTAGATGGCGTCTGGTTTTGTAGAGTTTTTCGGTCTCTGAGGGTCTTTTTCCCTACCTAGGCTCTGCCCAGAAGGGTTCTTACTCGCTTGGATTAAGGGGGCCGGCCAGTGCAAACCGCCCCGGGCGGTTCCCCCAGTCCCCTGGGAGCCGAGCAAAAGCAACAGCAAAGGTAAAAGCAAACGCGCGGTTCCCCCAGTTGCGCTCCCTGGGTGCCAAGCAAAAGCAAAAGCAAAGGCAACAGTGAAGGCAAAAGCGAAGGCAAAGCATAAGCATAGCATAGCATAGCATAGCATAGCGCAGCATAGCATAGCGCAGCATAACATAGCATAGCCTAGCCTAGCCTAGCCTAGCCTAGCCCAGCATAGCATTGCGCAGCATAGCATATGATAACATAACATAGCATAGCATAGCATAGCAGAGCAGAGCAGAGCATAGCATAGCATAGTATAGCACAGCGCAGCACAGCATCCACTATTGCTGCTGATATATATATATATATATATCTATGTACTTATGTGTGTGTGCGCACGTACGTTCCATGCATGTTGTCCATCTGTGGGCCATCTTGAGCCCTTAGTAGGGCAGCTCTAGCCCTTAGGATTCACGAAGGTTTCGCACATAGCACCGGCCGGGAGACATGAAACCCGACGTATTATCGCATGTCTCGGCGACTTGCTGCCTGCTTCTGCTGCTGCTTCACTTACGGCATGGCGTCGGCGGTTCTGGCGCTACTACTACTGCTACTACTACTACTACTACTACTACTACTACTACTACTACTACTACTACTACTACGACTACGACTACTACGACTACTACTACGACTACTACTTCTACTACTACTTACTACTACTTACTACTACTTACTACTACTTACTACTACCTACTACTACTTACTACTACTTACTACTACCTACTACCTAGTACTACTACTTACTACTAATACTACTCACTAATATCCTACTACACGACGACGACGACGACGACGACGACGACGACGTACGACGACGACGACGACGCGACGACGGACGACGACGACGACGGACGACGCGACGACGCCCCCCCCCCCCCTGACGACGACGACTACTACTACTAATACTACTACATCTATTACTTACGTACAATACAGTACTAGTACTACTTACTCTTACTACTACTAATACTACTACTACTACTTAATACTAATACTTACTACTACTACTTAGTACTAGTAACTAGTACCTACTACTACTACTATACTACTACTACTACCTATCTCCTACTACTCTACTACTTACTACTTTTTTATTTATAAACTACTACTACTACTACTACTACTATTACTACTACTACTACTTACTACTACTACTACTACTACTACTACTACCTTACTACTACTACTACTACTACTACTACTACTACTACTACTACTACCGCTACTGCTACAATTACGACGATGAGGAGAAGGAGGAGGACGGCGTTTACCGCTCCTACTAATGTTGCTTACCTAGAGGCTCCAACTCCTAGGTAGGGTCGCACTTGGATAATCTGGGTCTCGGGGTCGTGAAACAACTACCTTGGATGAAATAGCAGTCCCCGCGAAGGGACGGAGAACTCATAGGGCCCATGGATTGAAAAAAATGCCGCTCCACTGGAGGGCAGGTTCTACGCCCCATCATTTCGACATCGGGAGTCGGTGCTTCCGCCGTGCCGCCGTCCCGTCCTTTGGTGCTGCCGCAGCGCGGACGCGCCTTCGCTGCCGTGCCAGGCTCCAGCCTCTGCTGCCTCTGCCCCGCGTCTCTCGTTGCTCCTCCTCGCTCCCCTGCCTCAGGTTGCAACTCCTGGGAGGTTAATTCAGCATCGGCGCTGGTATATCCGTGGTCGAAAACTGGCCAGATCTGGCCTCATCCCGCTAGTCCAGCTTCATCCTGGTTAATCTGGCCTAATCCCGTTTCATCCGGCCTATTCCCCAGCTTCATTCGGCCTGATTTGGCATAATGGCCGCTTGAAAGGGCTGAGTAGATCTTACGTAATCGGTCTTACGAAACCCCTCTTGGAGTTGCATGCGAACCTCCCCCCTGCCCGCAGTCGTTTTGGACTCGGGGCACTGGCTGCCAGGCGTGCCGTGCTGCGTTCCGCACTCTCGCCGGTCGGCCGCGGTCCTCGCACCTGCAGGGGCTCTGGTTCCGCTTGCCGCAGCGATGTCGATGAGCGAGGTCCCGGTCAAGACGATAGCGGCGATCGGCGGCACGGCGGCTGTCGCCGTGGCCCTCAAAAAGTATTACGACAGCAGGCAGGGCAACTTCCTGGCCACGGAGCTGCCGTTCCGCGACGTGCCGCCAGCCATCCTGGATGCTCTCAAGAAGGCAAGGGCGGAGCACAAGATGAAGATGGAGCCTTTTGACGGCTGCTCGGGGGCGCTCCACGTGGCATACCAGTTCGCAGAGACCATCTTCATCTACCCCATCACTCCCACCACGCCTCTCGGTGAGGGCGCCGACCAGCTCGCGACTGGCGGCAAGACCAACGCCTTCGGAATCGTGCCCAAGGTGCAGCAGATGCAGTCTGAGGCAGGGGCCGCCGGCGGCGTCCATGGCACCCTGAGCATCGGGGCGATGTCGACCACCTTCACCGCGTCGCAAGGCCTGCTGCTCATGATCCCCGTTCTGTACAAGCTCGCGGGTGAGCTGCACCCGTGCGTGCTCCATATTGCCGCGCGCGCCATCGCGGGGCAGGCCCTGGCCATCTTTGGGGACCACTCAGACGTCATGGCAGTGCGCCAGACTGGCATGGCCCTTTTGTCCTCGCACAGCGTCCAGGAGACCCTGGACATGTCGCTCGTGGCTCACATCGCGACGCTGCTGTGCTCCGTGCCCTTCATCCACTTCTTCGACGGCATGCGCACCTCGCACGAAATCCAGAAGTGCGAGGCGATTACCGAGGATCACATCAAGGTCGTGGTGGACCAGCTGAAGGACCAGATCGACGCGTTCCGCGCCAAGGCCCTTAACCCCAATCATCCCACCCTGCGCGGCACCGCACAGTGTGGAGATATCTTCTTTCAGAACGTGGAGAGTGCCAACAAGTACCACGACGCCGTGCCCGAGGCGGTTCGCCAGGCCATGGTGTGGGTAAGGGAGCTGACAGGCCGCTCCTACGACATCTTCGAGTACGTCGGCCACCCGTACGCTACCGATGTGGTGGTCATCATGGGCTGCGGCGCGCAGGTCATGGAGGAGTTGATCGACCACTACGGCCCTGGCAAAAAGGTCGGCATCGTCAAAGTGCACCTCTACCGCCCCTGGAGCGCGCAGCATTTCCTCGCTGCAGTGCCGAAGACCACCCGGCGCGTGGCCGTGCTGGACCGGTGCAAGGAGACCGGCCTCGGCGAGCCGCTCTACACCGACGTGTGCGCAACCTTCTTCAGCATCCCGGCGGCGAAGCACATCAGGGTCATCGGTGGCCGTTACGGCCTCGCGAGCAAGGATAGAGCAACAACAAATTAGTGACGCAGGAAAGCTGGTCGTTCTCACCGGCACTGGCGCGTAAGCTGGTCGCGTGAACGCCCTCGTTTCCAGTGTGGCCTGCCATGCTGTTGGCCCGCATAAGCTACCGAGCAAGGGCGCTGTACCATCTCGCGTAAGGCCCCTTTCTTTCCGTCGCTCAAGTGGCATAAACATAAACTTTCGGATGTCCGCGCGGATTTCTTCTTGGATCGGCGCTGGACCCCCTTGTGCTCGGAGCGAGCCAGGGGCGGCGCCAGAGGCGCCGCCAGGGGGCTCCAGCGCCGATCCGAGAAATCCGCGCGGACCTCCCATCGTGTATGTTTATGCTTTTCTCTGTTTCCCGAAAGGACTTCACCACGGGCATGTGCCACTCCATCTTCGAGAACCTGGCGAAGGCGAAGCCCCAGCACCCGTTCACGATCGGATTCGAGGACGACGTCACGTTCCTGAGCCTGAAGTATCCAGCTGTCTCTGGCGAGCCCCGCCGCCGTTCCAGCGCGGCAGCGCAGAAGAGAGGAGGTCGGCTTCGAGACCTGCTCCAGCTCAGTGCCCCGTCTGATCTGGGCGGGTCTCGAATATCCCCTCGTTGTCCTCAACCTTGTTCTCCTCTCTCCTCCCCCCCCTCCCCCCTCCTTGGCTCAAGCCATTTCAGTTCGTATTTTTTCGGAGCCTTTGATGTCTTCGCTGGAACCAGCAAGCCCCTTGGACGCTCATGGGCTTGCAGGTGGTCCCAGAACCAGCGACGCCGGACTGCGAAAACGGCTTCCAGCATCTCTTTGATTGCATGTTGTGAGTATGTTCGATCTTGATGCAAGTTGGGAAATCTTGGGGGCTCTTTGGGGCTTCTGGGATGCCTCTTGGGGGCTTCTTGGGGGTCCGTTGAGGGTCTGTCGAGAGCCTCCAGAGGCGGTCTTGCCGTCCTGTGGCTGTCTCGGGGTAGTCTTGGGCCCTCTTGGTGGGCTTTCTGGGGCTCTCTGAAGTTTCTCCGAGGTGATCTGAAGCCGAGAAGCCTCGGAAGCAAAACATGTGGTTTGTTCGCTGAAAGCCACTTGGAGTTTCACGTGGGGGCTTCCTGGGACGTCTCCGGGCATCTTCGGGAGGCCTTGGAGCCGTCGGGGCCTCGTTGGGCTGTCTTGAGCTGGCCTGGGGCCGTCTTGCAGTGTTTTGGAGCGATCCGTGGCCGACTCGGAGACGTCTGGGGACCGAAGAGGGCAACGGAGGGCAAAACGACAGGTTGCGATTTTCTAAGGGTGCTCGCGTCGAGGGGGGGGGGTCGCTCCCGCAAGACTGGAGATCCTGCCAGACAACTAACGAGCACTCTAACACTCAACCATCGTGCAGGCACGATGGCGGATACCGCCATGAACACAGTGCCAGCGGGGACCGCTCAGAGCGTGCTGTACGGGTTTGGCTCCGACGGAACCGTGGGCGCGAACAAGAACGCCATCAAGCTCATCGCCAAGGAGACAGATTTGTATGCTCAGGGCTACTTCGCTTACGACGCGCTCAAGGCCGGCGGCATCACCTGTTCCTTCCTGCGCTTTGGGCCCAAGCCCATCAAGAGTTGTTACGAGATCACCGCGGGGGCGAAGTACGTCGGGATCCACAAGAAGGAGTACGTGAAGTCGTTGTCTGCGGAGTCCATGCTGAGCTGCCTCGAGCCCGGGGGCATTCTGGTTCTCAACTCGCCCTGGACGACCCCCGATCTCTTGAAGCAGAACCTGCCTCTCGCGTTCCGGCAGTACATCAAAGCCAAAGGCTTCATCCTGTACAACATCGATGCGACCGGTGTAGCACGCAAGGCTGGGATGGGGCGCATGATCAATAACATCATGCAGACGGTCTTCTTCCACTTGGCTCAGGTCATGGACGCGGACTTGGCAATTTCGATGTTCAAGAAGGCAGTCGACAAGACTTACAAGAGCAAGGGCCCCGAGGTTCGAACGACAACAAACGGCGCATAAGCAGAAGCTTTCGGAGGGCCGCGCGAGTTTCTGGGGTCGGCGCGGACCTCCGAAGGGTTCTGCTTCTGCAGTGCGTCTGCTGCTCCAGAGGTGGTCCGGAAGAACATCAACGCCATCGACATGGCGCTCGGCGAGCTGTTCGCGATGGACCTGCCGGACGACTGGCACGTCCCGCTGCCGGGCGAGGTGGCCGTGCCGGTGTTCTCCAAGGTGCGCGGGCCCGAGGTGCCCGCCGATGTCTCGGAGGTGCTGGACAAGATCCACTGCCGCGACGGAGACTCCATCCCCGTGAGCAAGTTCGAAGCGGGGGGAGTCGTGAAGCTCGGTGCATTCAGGGAGGGAAGAACTCGAAGAGCAGGATTCGCTAGAAACAACATATTTGTCGGAAGTCCGCGTGGATTTCTTGGATCGGCCTTGGGCCCCGGGCGCGCGGAGCGCGCCAGGGGTCCCAGCGCCCATCCAAGCAATCCGCGCGTTTTTTACTTACGCCGTTTTTTGTTTGTTTGTTCTCTACCTAAGAACACGCGCCGACGCAGCTGCCCTTCTCTCGGTGTCGCCTTCTCGGGCCTCCTGGGCAGCCCTCGTCGCCGCGGCCAGATGCGCCTCGCACTCCTGGTCAGAACGCACCCTGGAAGAGGTCTGGGAGTGGAGCGGCATCGGTGTCTTCCTGTTCCCCCAGGCATGACGCAGTGGGCGAAGCGCGGGGTCGCGGCCAGCGTGCCGGTGGTGGACCTCGACAAGTGCACGCAGTGCAACAAGTGCGCTGCCATCTGCCCGCACGCGGTGATCCGCCCCTTCCTGGCCTCCAACGAGGAGCTCAAAAAGGCGCCCGGGAGCTGGGAGGTCCGCAAGGCCACGGGTGGCCACCAGATGGCCGGCCTCAGCTTCCGCATCCAGGCCTCGCCGATGGACTGCACGGGCTGCGAGGTGTGCGTCACCACGTGCCCAGACAACGCCCTGAAGATGGCCAGCATGGAGGAGGTCGTCGCGGGCGGGCACGCGGACAACTGGAACTTTGCCATGTCGCTGCCGGACAGGGCCGGCAGGTTCGACAAGTTCTCCATCAAGGGCTCGCAGTTCAACCAGCCGCTCCTAGAGTTCAGCGGCGCCTGCGAGGGCTGCGGCGAGACGCCGTACGCCAAGCTCATCACGCAGATGTTCGGCCAGCGCATGATCGTGGCGAACACCACCGGCTGCAGCAGCATCTGGGGCGGAACCGCCGGCTGGGTCCCGTACACCGTGCACAAGGATTCAGAGGGGGAAGAGGTACGTACTGATACCGCTGACCTTCCCTCGTCTTCGCCTGTTTGGGCCTCCTGGGAGGTTCTCGTCGCCACGGCTAGATTCACCTCGGTTTCCTGGTCAGAGCGCACCGCGGGAGAGGTCCGGGAGTCGCAGCATCGCCCTAGGCTACCCCAGGGGCGCGAAGAAGATTGTGCTTTACGCATTGCGGCTTGGGTCTGAGAGTGCCCTTCTCTAGGGCGGCGGCGCGAGGGCTCGTACCTTCTTGTTCCCCCAAGCCTGGCACTGTGCCTGGTCTGCGGACCAGGGTGCAGTAGGTTCGCGTGGTGTCGACGCGGCGGCGACCTCAGCGCTTTCCGTTCAAGGTTGAGCGCCGCTAGTGGCTTGGACTCAGCCATTGTCGAGCGATCGGCGCTGTCGGAGCGCCGCGATCGCTCAAGGTCGGTACGGTACCTCTTGGTTCTCCTGCAGGACACGGGCAAGGGTCCCGCCTGGGGCAACAGTCTCTTCGAGGACAACGCGGAGTACGGCTTCGGCATGGTGCTGGGGATGATCCAGCGCCGCAAGCACCTGAGCTCCGCCGTCGAGGGTGCCTTGGCCGAGGGCGAGGCGAAGAGCGACGCAGCGCTCCGCAATGCCCTGGAGCAGTGGTTGGAGCGCAAGGAGGATGGCGACATGAGCCAGAAGTTCGGCGACGAGATCCAAGCTATCCTCGGGGCGCAGATGAAGGGCGGCGCGAAGCTGACCGAGAATCTCGAGACCATCTGGCGCCTGCGCGACATCCTGACGAAGCCAGCCATGTGGATGTTCGGCGGAGACGGTTGGGCGAACGATATCGGCTTCGGAGGTATCGACCACGTCGTGGCAGTCGGTGATAACGTTAACTTCATGATCATGGACACGGAGGTCTACTCGAACACGGGCGGCCAGAGTTCCAAGGCCACTCCGCTCGGCTCGGTGGCGAAGTTCGCGCAGAAGGGCAAGCGCCAGCAGAAGAAGGACCTCGGTGGTTGCTTCATGTCCTACCAGAACGTGTATGTGGCCTCGGTGGCCATCGGGGCGAATTTCCAGCAATGCGTGCGGGCTTTCCAAGAGGCAGAGGCGCACCCAGGGCCATCGATTGTGCTCTGCTACTCCCCGTGCATCGAGCACCGCGCCAAGACGGGCATGTCCCAGATGGGGAACGACCAGAAAGCGGCGGTAGACTGCGGCTACTGGCCCTTGTACCGCTACGACCCGAAGCTCGAGTCTCTGGGCGAGGCGCCCTTCCAGCTGGACTCCAAGACGATCTCGGGCAAGGTGGTCGAGTTCCTGCGCACGCAGAACCGCTACGCGCAGCTGGAGCGCTCTCTGCCCGAGGACGCAGAGATGCTGCAGAAGGACCTCTCCGACCACCTCTCGAAGCGCCACGCGGCGATGAAGCAGCGCTCCGAGCAGAAGCCAGTGGGCGCCAGCACAGAGGTGGCCGCCGGCCCACCGCTGGTGGTGCTGTACGGCTCGGAGACAGGCACCGCCGAGGGGGTGGCGAGGCGCTTCGTGCGCGCCGCGAAGGAGCGCGGCTGCACGGTCCCGACGTGCACCGAGCTCAACGACTGCTGCGAGCTCGAGACCATGGACGCCTCCACGCTGGTCATCTTCATCGCCACCTGCGGCGACGGCGACATCCCAGCGAACGCCCACGGTTTCTGGGAGTACCTTGAGAAGCTGAGCCCTGGCCAGTTGAGCGCGCACAGCTTCGTGCTGTTCGCGCTGGGCGACAAGGGCTACCCCAAGTTCTGCGAGGCTGGCAAGATGATCGACGGTAGGCTGGTGAAGCTGGGTGCCAAGCAGCTGCTCGCCATGGGCATCGGCGACCAGTGCGACGAGGACGGCTGGGAGACTGGCTATTCCAGCTGGCTGCCCGGCGTCATGGACGCCGTCAAGGCGCCACCGCCTCGGAAGCGTGACGGGCCGCCTCCAGCGCTCTTCGACATCGAGGAGCACGCCGGCACCAGCATGAGGCCCCCCAAGCTGTGCCCGCCAGGGGCGCTGCTCGCTGAGATCGAGGAGAACCGCCGCATGCCTCCGCCGGACTACGAGCGCGACATCCGGCACTTCTCCCTGTCGAACAAGGACGTGGACCTGGTTTGGCACCTCGGCGACGCCATCGGCATCTACCCGGAGAACCTGCCTGCCGACGTGGAGGATGCCCTTGCGTGGTTCGGCTACGACGGGGATGCCGCGGTGTCCGTGAAGCTGCTGTGCGACGCCTCGGACGTGAACGCACGCTTTGCCGCCCTCAGCAGAGAGAGAACCACAGCCCGGCAGCTGCTGACGGAGGTCGTAGACCTGTTCGGGCGTCCGTCCAAGGGCTTCTACGCGCAGCTCTCCGAGTTCTGCACGGATCCCAAGCAGAAGGCCGAGGTGCTCCAGATCGCTGGCGGAGACGGCTACAAGGCCATGCTGGAAGAGTCCATCAACTACTTCGAGATCTTCAAGAAGTTCCCGAGCGCGAAGCCTTCGCTCGCCCACCTGCTGGCTCTCGTGCCCCCTATCAAGTATCGCCTCTACTCCATCGCCAGCAGCCAGGACCTCATCCCTGGCAAGGTGGAGCTCACCATAGTGATCAACAGGTGGCCGACGAAGTCAGGGGTCCTCAAGACTGGCACCTCCACCAAGTACATCGCATCGCTGCCAGTGGGCGCCAGGGTGGCGTGCACGATGACGGTGGGCACCTTCACCTTCCCCGACGACAAGGTGCCGATGGTGATGGCCGGCTTGGGCACTGGTATCGCTCCCATGCGATCCTTTGTGCAGGACCGCTACTACAAGAAGACGGTCCTGGGCAAGGAGGTCGGCCCGATGATCCTCTTTTACGGATGCCGCCACGAAAGGGAGGAGTTCTTCTACAAGGACGAGTGGGAGAAGTACCAGAAGAGTGGCGTGCTGACGGAGATCGTTTGCGCGTTCTCGCACGACAAGCCGCACTACCCTCCCAAGATGGTCTTCGTCAACCAGAAGATGGAGGAACACCTCAGCATGATCGGCAAGTACATGGGCGAGCTCGGCGGCTACTTCTACATGTGCGGTCTGGCAGTGGCAGCTCCTGGTATCGAGACGGCCCTGAAGAAGGCCATGATCGGTGCCGGCATCGTGAAGGCGGCCGGGGCAGACGCCTGGATCGAGGACCTGAAGAAGTCGGGCCGCTACAGCATGGAGTCGTACTGAGGGTGTCAGGCAGTCGGCTCCAGATTTATGGGGCAGCGATAAGCGCCAGAGTGGACGCCCAGAGTTGCAGTTACCCTCTCTCGGGGAAGCCCAAGACTCGGGTTCGCGGTTTGCCGACGCCTTCTGACAGGCCTGTCGTGAGTTTTGTTGGCCCAGGTTTCGGGGGATGTCTGAAGCGCGAGCTGTCGTCAATTTCCAGACTGGGTCTCGTCAGTTTCCTGACGGCCCCGTCAGGCCAACCCGAGTCCCCCGAACTCGAGTCTTACGTCTCCCCGACTCGTGGGCAGTCTACGCGATCTTCTGCGGTGCTGGGGCTGTCTCGGTCAGGGCTCCGAGACAATTTATTCTCGGTTCGCACCCCTTGGGAGGCCCCGAATTCAGCGTGGCCTCCTCGGCCAGTCCTCGGAGGCCCCCGCTCTCCGAGGTGTGTTTTCAAGAAGTGCAGCTCCTCCTCCCTCTGTGGTCCTCTCCTTCCCGCCGCCGTCACCGCGGCCTCCCTCCGTGCCCTCCCGTGTCCTCCCGACTCGAGGAACAAAACACTTCATACACATGTTAGCCAGCGTGGACACCTAACCAGTGTGTGCTTTGGCAATTCTAGGTGTCGCAATCTATGCTGTGCAGCCTATGTGGTGCAGCCTATGCTGTGCAGTCTAAGCTGTGCGCTCTATTTGGTGCAATCAATGTTGTGAAACCCGTGTGGTGCAATCTATGCGGTTCAATCTTTGTCGTGCACTTTATGTGGTGCACAATCTGTTGTGTAATGTATGTGGTGTGGTGAACTCTAAGTGAAGCAATCTATGCGGTGCAAGCTGCGCTGTGCAATCTATGTGGCGCAATATGTGTAGTGCGATCTTTGTTGTGCGATCTATGTGGTTCAATCAATCACTTGCTCAACTTGGAGCTGTCCTCTCTACTGCTCGTGCAAACATCCCACCCTCCCACCCGCAACTTGGTCGCAAGACCTCGTAAGACCGTGACGGTAGGTACCACATGGCACTTGGCAACGACACCGACGCCATCGACGACAGCGACAACGACGACGACGACGCCGCCGACAACGACTACGACGACGCCGACTACGTCTCCAACGACTTCGACGACAACGCCAACGACACCGACGACGACGACACCGACGACGACGCCGCCGACGCCGACGACGACGACGACGCCGACGCCGACGACGACGACGACGTCGCCAATGAAGACGGCGACGACGACGAGGGAGGAGGGAGGACGACCATGGCGACAACGACGACACCGACGAGGGAGGAGGGAGGACAGTGACAACGCGAACGACGAAGAAGGAGGGAGGACGGCGACGCCGACGACGACAACGACGAGGAAGTAGGGAAGACGACGACGACCACGATGACGGCGACGAAATAGGAGGGACGACGACGAGACGCCGACGACGGACGACGACGACGACGAGGGAGGAGGAAGGCCGACCACGGCGACAACGACGACGGAAACGACAACGACGCCGAAGAGGACGACGACGACGAGGAAAGACAGAGGACGACGACTTCGACGACGACGACGACGAGGGAGGAGGGAGGACGGCGACGACGACGACGCAAGAGCGCGCGCGCACGCTTTTGTTGAAAATCCGGTTAGTGAAACCCTTTGTTTGCTGTATGTTTTTTGGACATTCGATTTTGAAATCCTTCCGACACCTAAGGTTTTTGAAGGATTTCGGCATGCGCGCGAGACGACGCGCGCGCGTGCACTTCATCCTGTTTTTTGCAGAGGATTCTCGCGACGGCACGCGCGCAAGGGCGTTCGGAAGATTTTGATATGCGCGCGCGAAGCCCGTTTGGTAGTATTTTTTGATTGTGCAATCTTGAAAAACCAATGGTTTTCCTAAGTTTTCGCGAGAGCGCGCGCGTGTGAGCTTTTTTAGGACATCAGTGTTGCGAAACCCTTCGTTTCTGTATGTTCTCGGAAACTCGACTTTGAAATCCTTCGACTCCGAGGGTTCTTGAAGGATTTCGGCACACGCGCGCGACGACGCGCGCGTGTGCACTTCGTCCCACTTTTTTCAAGGGATTTGTGAAAATTTATGAATTTTGATGAACGAGTGTGCGCGCATAGTATTTTTTGCAGAAGATGGTGGGGGGGTGGATACCGGTTTGCTTGGGATAGTATGCATTCACAGGTAGGGTGGACATTGGGTCAGAATCCTATGTGTTTTGCATAGGTTCCCGGGGGATCTTTAACCCCGCGGGGGGGGAGGGTGGTAGAGTTTATTTTTTAGGAGAATCCATGCTGTGCGCTCTATGTGGTGCAATTGACTTTTACCCATGATTTGACACATCCCACGCTCTTGCAAACATCCCACCCAACCACCCGCAACTTGGTTTGCAAAACCTCTTAAGACCGACTACGACGACACCGACGACAACGACTACGACGACACCGACGACGTCTCCGACGACTTCGACGACGACAACGACGCCGACGCCGACGACGACGACGACGACGACGACGCCAACGAAAACGACGACGAGGGAGGAGGAAGGACGACGACGGCGACAACGACGACAACGACGACAACGACGAGGGAGGAGGACGGCGACGGCGCGAACGACGAAGAAGGAGGAAGGACGGCGATGCCGACGACGACAACGACCGAGGGAGGAGGGAAGACGACGACGACAACGACGACGACGACGACGGCGACGAAATAGGAGGGACGACGACGAGACGCCGACGACGGACGACGACGACGACGAGGGAGGAGGAGGAGGAAGGACGACCACGGCGACAACGACGACGGAGAGGACGACGTAGGCGACGACGACGACGACGCGGGAGGAGGGAGGACGGCGACGACGACGACGACGACGACGACGCAAGAGCGCGCGCGCACGCTTTTGTTGAAAATCCGTGTTGCGAAACCCTGTGTTTTTGTAGGTTTTTTGGACGCACGAGTTTGAAATTCTTGTGAAAACGATGGGTGTTGAAGGATTTCGGCATACGCGTGCGACGACGCGCGCGTCTGCACTTCGTCCCTTTTTTTGCAGAGGATTCTCGCGACGGCACACGCGCAAGGGCGTTCGACAGATTTCGACATGCGCGCGCGCGTAACCCCTTTTAGTAGCATTTTGTGAAAATCTGGAAAAACCTATGATTCCCTGAAGATTTCGCAAGAGCTCGCGCGGAAGTTTTTATAGCAAATCAGTGTTGCGAAGCCCTGTGTTTTTGTATGTTTTTTGGAAGCTCGATTGCGAAATCCTTCCGGCACCGAAGGTTTTTGAAGGATTTCGGCATGCGCGCGCGACGACGCGCGCGTGTGCACTTCGTCCCGTTTTTTGCAAGGGGTTCGTGAAAAAGTGTTTTGTTCGAACAAAGTCACCGCATAGTGTTTTTTACAAGGGAACCGCCGGGGGGGGAACCCGGTTGGCCTGGGATATTGTGATTTCATATTTAGGATGGTCATGTGGTCAGAATCATATTTGATTTACATACCCGAAAGGGGTAATGATAACTCCGGGGGGGGGGGGTAGAGTCTATTCTGTTTTTAGAGAAAGGAATTTATCTATATATATATAGACATATATATATATATATACACATGTGTGTGTGTACATTTTGTTACATATACATACATATATATATATATATATATATATATATATGGCCGCTTTTTAATAAGATGAAGTGATGTGCATAGCAGTTGGATGATCGTCGCATCGACGTTGCCCGTCGACGTACTTGCTCAAGTCTTTGAGGGCGCAGCCGCTCTCGCTCCATGCAAGCCCGTGAGGTCGGGCTTTTCGTTCATCGCTCACCTCGGCGCGGTAGGCCTGGCGCGTTGGTGGTGGCTCTCTGCGCCGTGGGCCTTGCCGGTGCCGCTGGCACCGCCTTCTGCCAGCGCTGGCCTTGGGCACAGCGCGGGGGAGGCCTGGGAGGCGGGGGCTTGGCTCGTGCCGCTCTCGGAGTGCATATCGGCCGCCGTGGAGGCTCGCGAGGTGCAGAGCTGCCCCTCGCCGTGCACCCCTTGCCCGGCCTGCCCCGCGGCAGGCGACGCGGGGCTTTCGTGGGTGATCCAGCTGGTCATCAGCCTGCTCGGCCTCATCCTTGTGGAGGCTGGGAAGCTGCTGTTGGGGGTTGCCGCGCGGCTGCTGCTGGTGCTGAGGCGACTCCTAGGCTCCTGCAACGGCGGCGGCTCGGCGCAGGGCTCAGCCAGCCCGCTCGGGCTCGAGCTGGGACATGCCGCGGCGGGAGCCCCCACTATCGTGGAGGTCGACTTGGCAGAGCTCGCCGCCGCGCAGTCGCGGGCTAGCAAGCTTCGGCAAATGCAGTCGCGGTGATGGCTGGCGCTTTCTACCTGGTAAGGTACCGCGTTGCGGGTCCGCTTCTGTGGCATGAGCGCTTGACGCTTGGCGAGGGGGGTGCTTTTTCGTATATCATGACTCCAGACGGGGGCGACTACGACGAGGCTAACGCTGATGGGCCCGACGTGGCGAAGGTCATCAGGATCGCGGGCCGGGGGGCGACGCCAGGCGGGCTCGGCGGAGGGCATGTGCATCGGCTTCGTCGTTTGCTTCGTCGTTTGCGGACTGCAGCCGGGGCCTGGGCCGCCATCGCGCGCGGAGTGGCTTCCGGCTTCCCGCGGCCTCCGGGGCCGGTGCTGAACCCGGAGTTGGGTGCTGGCAACGTGCTACCTCGCCGTCGACCGCCTCCTCCTCTTCGTCACCCATGGTGTCGAATCTCCGCCTAGCTGTAGGCGCCCGTCTGAGTCGCACAGGTGTCCGCACGTCGAAAACTGCTGCTTCTGATTTCGTCCACCGGGTATGGGCTCTGCTCCTGATCTCGTCTCCGTCCGTGAAGTTGCTCACACTCTTGGAGCGCGCTGGCGCCCCGCGTGGAGCTGACGCCAGCTCCGCTACCACCAATTCTGGTAGACATGCGGAGGAGCGGCAGCTCTCGGAATAGAGATGCTTTCAGTATCAGCACAAGCAGCATTTCGTGATGCGTCAAAGGGGCCGAAGCCC